CCCCAAAACCCCAAAACCCCATACGATAACATAATTGGTAATTAAGTAGATTGCTTAAGATTAAATTAAGTGTAGACTGCTTAAGAAATTAATTAGTCTTTGCAAAATTAGAAGAATCTCAATTGAGTAGTTTCATCTTCATTTTTCAATCGCTTTCATTCATTATTATATTAGGAGGATTGATGTCACTCTCAACATTATATGACTGACTTATAAAGGCATCCATACCGCCAGTCTTAAGTATCTTGCTATTTTCTCCACAGGCACCATCATCTTTTTGATTAATATTATTGACTTTATTGTCGCTAGAGCTGTCCTCCTCAAACATTAGTTAATTCAGTTCTGCCTCGTTTAAGTTATCACTGCTGATTTAGTCACTATGCTCCATTATTGGGGTTTGAGTATCCCTTCCACTTTTAAGTATAGTAGCTGGCTTCTTCAACATTGGCTTAAGAGAATTCCTTATAGATTTTGAGAGGGAGGACATTGCCTAAGGTGTCTGATTATTTGTTTTCATAAAAGTGTCTAACTTTGAATTAGTCTTATCTGGACTATCAAACTCATTCATTGCAGCATAAGAACTTTCATCCATATCATTTGCTCCAACTTTTTCTTCAGATATAGCTGTATCCTTCTTCTTGATTACATTTCTTGAGCTATTTATAGAGCTGAGGAGCTTTGTTCCTGGTCTTTTAAGTTTCAAAGCCAAGTTGGAAGTAACTTATGATCCCTCAAGTGAAATGGTACTCTTGATAACCTTTGGTTACTCTTTGGCTTTATCTTGCTTCTATTTTGTATTTTGCGACTAGCCCTATTCTTACTCTGGCTTTTCTTTGACTTCATTTGTATTTTTCTTAGCATTTTTAATCTACTCTAGCCTTTCCCTCATTGAGGAAGTGATGCTATTAATAACTTAGGAATGATCCTTTTGATCTTCTACTGATGCTTTATCTTTAAGTTTATCTCTGCTTTTTTCCTATAGGTCTGATTTATCATCTTTTAGCCTGCTACTCTGTCTCTTTTAAACGTTTGGTCTTTCAGATTCTTTAGGCTTTTCAGCTGGCTACTGCTTTTTGTCCTTAGCCGACGGAGTTAAATCGGCTTCTTGCTTTGCTGATCTTGTCTATCTCTAATTTTTTTTGTCTTCTTCCTTACCCTTGTGTCTTGCCCTTGAGTTATTTGGCCTTTTAATATTGGACGGTATAATCTAGATTGATTTCTTTTTATTTTTTTTCACCAATGGCATTGGAATCTGGATAAGGCACTTCTCATTATTAGCATTACATATTTACGAGGAGCTTGGAATTTCATTTACTCCCATCATTGTGAGACTACTTTGACTTTCATCTCTTGACCCACTGACATTTCTAGAATTATGGCTAACTGAGAAAGTCTAAGTAATGCATGAGGGGATTATTTATGATGCTCTCACATGATCTTGATTGATGGGCAGTTGCTAGAGAATAGCTTAGTCTATAAGGATTCCATTATTAGAGTTATTAGTAGATTGATTTTATTGGGAGTTATCTTATGAAAGCACTGGTATGGGGAAGTATTATGCCAATTGCTTGTAAGTCAAAGCTTGTTAAATCTGTAATTATTGCTGCTAAAACGCACTGATTAAAGTGTTCTGAAGAGCTGTAGTAGGACTGCTCTTGTTGCTTGGATCTCCCTCATTCTTAAATCTTGCAAGCCTTCTTATTCAATCTATATGTCCTTTCTTGAAGACTGCCAAAGCTTTGATGACTTGGTCATTCTTCAAAATATCACCAATGGACTAAATAGCAAATACTCAATCATAGTATATAAACTTACATAGTCTTTGGTAAATTGGAATCTATCATTCTGATACAAATCAAGAATCTCTATCTCTTAGTCTTTGTATATACTGTTGTATTCATTTTCAATTTTCTACTTTAATTCATCTGCATAGTAAATTGAAAATAGAACTGTGCTTACTGATGTTTTTAGTTGGCTTTTCTGAAACAGCAATGTGTTTCTTTACATTGCTTTCCTTGAACTCAATGTTCACATATATCCTTATTCTGTTTTCAATTTGTAATGGAGCATGCTGTTAATGCCCTAGTGATGTTTCTTGTGACATTCTTATTCTACACTACAATAGTTAAAAGATTATATGATTATTACGGTTTTGAATTTGAGCGAGTTTGAACTAGCAGTCAGTTTTGAACTCACTCTAAAATATTAGAGTGTAAATAAATAATTTAGCCTTAATATTTTTAGGCAAGAAAATGATTATTATGATGGTGTTTTAACTTGAATTATATTAATCATGAATGCATAATCAAACTTGCAGATTATATTTGCTCTCTGACATAGTATCAATTCTCTTTGGCCTTCTTTCTCTTTGTGGGCTATCCAGCAGGTTTCTTCTTCTTTTTGCTATCAAGATTGGCATTCGTCATCTATGAGTTGCTGACTGTCATTTTGCTTGGCTTATCGTTATCAAGATCCTTAATTGAATCGAATTTTTCTACGAAGATTTGCGGCTGATCATTTTAAGGGGGATTTTCAGGGTCTGCAAAGGCTGATTACTGAGTAGTTCTCAAAGTTTTCTTACTCTCTGCCTCGTTCTTTTCGTCATCTGAGTTCTCAAAGAGTTCGTTGTAGCCCTGAGTTACTGATCTTATTCTCAAGCAAAGTCTACCTGACTTTTTGTGTACTTTGAATAAGAAGTAATTAGCGATTGAGAAGGCTGGGTCGACAATGGCAAACTAAAGGAAAATGGCGACGATACCAGCATACCACCAAATCCAAGAGACTTTCCAACCGAAAGTGGCTGTGAACTGAATGACATACCAAAAGATGGTTCCCATAATAACGAAGACAATAATGTAACCCATGAGGAATCTGACCATCGACTCTTTACGATATTCAATTCTATAAAGTTAATTGGTGGATAATCTCTTACATAGCACCTTCTAGTTGTCTCAGGGTTACTACATTAAGTAGTTAACTGTTAGGCATTTTCAAGAAAGATGACAAGATGTACATGAGGATAGTGCTTCCAAACGGAGCCAAAAACGAGATCCACATGTCCTTGATAGCCAAACTGCTAGCCTTTTTGTTCTATAGGTATAATGATAAGATGGTACTTTTAACTTACAAAATCTGGCACTGCTAAAGGATCTTTAGTATTATTGAAAAACACAGCACAAATAAACCAAAGCATAACCACATTACAGAAGAAAAGTGACCATCTGATATGTCTTGGTGATAGCAGACTAGTAACAGAGAATATACTAAGCAAGTAACTGCCATGAATAATCATCTGCTTTAGTTTGAACATGCTGAGTTCACGGCGTTCCCTTTCTGCAACAAAGATATCTTGCATATTAAGATACATTTCTTCATCAGTACTGTTAAGCTAGCCTCTAATTTCTGCGAGATATTCTTTAACTTCACCTGCAAGCTCTTTTGGCAACTTTCTAAGGTGAATCATAATCTTGCGTCTGAACTCTTTTTTAGTCATTCCATCTACGTCCTCATACTTAATGGCCATGAGATGATGGTACAGTTGCTAAGGATTGATCTCATCTTTAATGTTCTTGATCGTCTGCTGATGTCTCTCGTATTGCGATCTCTATGCTGGAGTCATCATTGACAAGTCTCTGCGTCTATCATCATCATCCTCCTCAATCTCAAAGTTCTTCATTAACTTCTTTCGCTTTTCTTCCTGGAGTCGCTTCATAATAATCTTATCATTCTCATCAAAGTCAGCCCCTACTTTGAAATCCTCTTTTAGCTTTCTGTTTCTTCCTTTTCTATTCTTAGAAACATTCTTGTAAGCATCCATCTCATTGATCTTATCGTAGTTAGTATTTTCTGAGCTAAAGTATTCTTCATTCTAGTCCTATTGATAGGTCTTTCTGTTGTTTACTCTTCTTCTAGGTTTACTTGACTTGATTTCTTCTTCATCGTCCATATAAGGCTTATTAGTTGGCCTGCCCTTAGTAGTCATGCCATCATCCATCAATCCCTCTACATCGTCTTGGTTTTACTTTAAATAAGTCTTCTTTTTAGAAGCGATCTTAGTCGCTTTCCTGTCTTCAATACCTAACTGCTCCTTCTTAAAGAATAGACCGTCTCTGCGGAGCATTCTAGCTCCATACTGTAACTCAAATCTACGGACTTTCTCTCTCAAACCGACAATCAAGTTGTGTCTAAGACGTTTGTCAATAAACCAGATAAATATATGGCCAGTGATGAAACAAACCATTCCAGCAATAGAGGCAAGATATCCAAAAGACTCATTCCAATACTTCATAGCGAAGAAATCTGAATAAATACCTGGGGACAGACCTTTGGTACTCTATGTTTTATTTGTTTGCTAATAAATGACTCCAAATCTAGAAAGATGAGTGCATCTACATAAACTGATTGTAGTATTGATTTAGTTATATTAATCACAATCTGAGCAAGGAATGATTTCCCAGATCTTAGAGAAAGTGCAACTACCATCATTTGCAAATCTCTGGCCATCTTCATCCCAAGCCATACACTAAAGGAATTCAGGATCGAATCCCATACTTTGATTGAAAGGCTCACGGTAGTCCACATAATAACCATTGTCAAGTTCAACTGGGATCTCATTATTGGCTATGGAGTAATACTCTACTGTGGTGATATTTGATTCCAAAAATACTCCTGGGTTCCTCTCAAATTTGAAAGGGTTGATAAGATGCTTCATGATCTTTTGTCTCACTTCGTGGCGCTTTGAAGCGACTCCTTACTGCTTATCCCAGATCGTCTTGGGGAAATTCCAGTATGCATCCTTGCTACGAACATAGGTGCGTCCAATATATTTGGTAGTTTGTTTGTGATTGAGCATAAGATCGAATGACTTAGTTCTGGAGAGAACTTGATTATTAAGGGGATCCATCTTTTCCATGACATGCTCAATAAATTTGTTCAATGATCTATCAATTCTTCTACCCCACTCCTCATAGAGATTAAGCTCGCCCTCTGAAAGGTATAGCTTTCGTTTTCTTGGTGATGACATGCCACCAATAAGGTAAGGCTTCTGATCATCATTTAGATAGTATTATTTGTTTCTTATCTATGAGAGATCAGCTGGGTTGCTTGATAGCTAGAAAGAGTTGCTATACTAAAGGAGACTGACGCCCATTCCAAGAAGGACAGTATCTTTCATAGCTCTGCGAGTTTTAAAGGAGTGATGAATCTTAAGAATAGAGTTACTATAAGAGTCAATTAACATTTAAGTCAAATTAGAATCCATGGGTTTGTGAGAGTAGAAAGTAGCATTGCTAACAATGTCCATCAGTTCCAGTATCTTAACAAAAGTCTCATCATCCACCAAATCTGGTGAAGAGGTAACTCCCCTTACTACATTACCAATAACTTCTAGGTCAAATGGCTTGACTTTTGGTTTGGCTTTAATCATTCCCAAAATAGTGCTGACCATTGTGTTAGAAATGTTTCGCAAGTCTTGAAGCTAGTTCTCCTGGAATGAGCAATATGTGCCGAAGTAGCCTTGATAGCATTCACATTTTTATATTCCAAATTCGCTTGAGCAGACACCATTGTAGTTGCAATGAATATCAAGAGTGCAGATTGCATCCTGCTAGTTTGGTCTCAAAGGTTATTGAACTGATTAGAAAATGATGTTAGAAGCTAGTAGGATGTGAGATAGATTCCCTGAGATATTAAGAGCTTTGATATACTCAGTGGCGTAGGTGTAGTTCGATGTGAATTCAACTTTGTTCTAGACGTTAAGGAAATCTTTGCACTTAGTTGAGGTGGCGAAGAACATGTCCTCTGCCATGACACATATCGAAATGTTAGCTCTGTACATCGCGGCAGGGATAGTAAGGTCATTTTCTTTCATTTGCGAAACAAGCTGTTGATCAATAGCAAATGGTGGTAATCTGACAAAGATGGTATTGTAGTTGAGTTGGTCAGTGATAGTATATTACTGGGTGGCTGTGCTAAGACCAATCTTGTAGGTTCTTATTACGAATACCTTGAGTTTAAGCATTTAACTTGTATCATCAGGCGAGTCGTACCAGTTGGTCAGATCGATTCTCCATTGAGTATCTATTGAAGAACCTGTTGAATTAGAAAGTTCTCCAACCTTAGTAATGACCATATCTCCTAGAAAAGGAGAATCGTTGAGGAAGAATTCTGAGATGTCATAGGCGATCTCACCTATTGAATTTGTAACTAAGCACTTTACCTTGACAACTTGACTGGCTGAGATCTTCATTAGGGCATTGTTGTTCAGTCCAACGATCTAGCAACTCTCGTTATGAAGGGTATCTGTGTTGTTTGAGAAAATACTTGTGTCAGGGTTAGAGTAAATGTCAGGTTCTAACTGTTCCCATTTAATTTAAGTGATTGTTCCTCCATTTGTGTTGTTAATATCTGCTTTAAGATAAATCTGCTTGTCTTTAGGTATCTTATTAATGAATCCAAGACTCAATATCTTAACCTATAAGTATTTGGTGCTTGATATCTGATTGCAGACATAGCTGGTATAGTTATTAGAGTGATGCGGACTTGGACACTCTTCAACACATATTCCGTTTAAAAGTTGTTTATTAGGATTGCAAGACAAGCATGAAGCTATCTCTGCACTGCTGCAAGTTTGACAGTCTGGATTGCACTCCACACAAACTCCTGACTCAGGATCGTTGAAGAAACCAAAGGGACATCTGTCCACACATATAGCCTGAGACTTGATCAAGTTTTGGTGAGTAATGGAGTAAGAGGTAATGAATGAGGCTGCTGCTGGGCACTTGCTGATGCATCTGCCATCGAACAGATAGTCTGTCTTCTTAGTGCAAATTTGACAGTTGTTCACCTCAGTTCCATTGCACACCGAGCAAGAGGAGTGGCATCCAATGGTCCCTAGCTGGACATTGTACATCTTCTCTGACCTAAGATAAGTGAATTCACCGAACTTGTCTCTAATACCTCTGATTACTTCAATGTACTCAGCAAACAGACTGCCTTAGTTGCATTATCTGAGCTAGAGATTTCTAATGGCAAATGAGTTGTTTGAAACATCTTCCATTGCTACTGTAGCCATTGGTCTGTTGAAAGTACAGAAATACTGGTCAG